ATTACATCACTTAATGTCTTAATTCTCCTATTCTTAAGATTAAAAAAAATAGATTAACCCTTTAACTCCCTCATCAAATTTGTAATTCTCCTTACTGTCAACCATACAAGTCTTAGAATGTTAGTTCAGAGAATTTAGTGTTGGATCAACTAATTATCCCCACATTGATACTTTTCTTTATTCTCATTACTTACCTGGTTGATATTGTATTGATATTTTAAGGAGAAATTGTGTTTTGGTCACTCATGGGAGTTAAAAGGTTAAGGAAGAAATCATCTCTGATCACTTTACACTTTAACATCAGTATGCATATTCTCAATGCTGTTCTCTAAACATTTCCTAAGGCGCTGACCAGGAGAATTTATTTAACAATCAATTTTTTCTTTAGGTGGTGATCATTTCCTTTATTCTCGTGACCTTAATATTTGATTTAGGGCTGATTTTGGAAGGAGAAATTAGATGTTAGTAAATTTTAGGGGCTAAAGATCTAATATACCTTACAACTTCTCCACAACACAAGGGTACTCGTGTTGGATGACAAGGCTTTCGTGCTATCTTTTTCGTGAAAGAGTGGATCGTATCTTGCAAAACTGAACACTCCGACACCGGCTGAAGGTAAGGCCTGTCCGAACACATAATTCCAGCTCTCCCTCGGGTACAAATCCATCATTGTGATCCCCACAACGCAGAAAGCGTCAGAAGGCCATTTACTTTGGAGGTATTTATAGATATCTGGAATTAATAGCTGCCTATGTCCGCCATGCCGTCGTGTCTTACACTTCAGTTCCGCTATGGAAACAGACGAAAGGACAACAACTTGAAAACCGGTGAAAAATACACTCGCAAATCGTTGTAGAAGCGATAAAAAGCTTTCTTTAGTGCCAATTTTATCCAGTTCTACTTCAGAGGTCGCCCATTTTTCTCCCAGAGGCACAAGATATATTTTTTTCTTCCTCTCTCTGACGGGCGAAATGACAGATTGAAATCTTTGCCACCAAGAATCATGCGTCTCTTTCATTTCAGAGTGCGACGACAGCCAGTCATCTTCATCTGGCTCTGGCAGAGCTGGAAACAAACTCCTGTTTTTTAGGTCCTTTGTTAAGAAGGTTTTCTCTTCCTTTGGAAGTCACTGTAAGTTACCGAGATCACGAACCGTTGTTTTTGATGCAGTCGCCATATTGGATGTTTGGATAGTGCTTCGGTCACGCAATATTCAAATTTTAAAGGCGCCTGGGATTTGGTAAACTCTCCTTGAAATCAATTCAAACTACGCGTTTGAAACTGAGAAATAAATAAAAAATCACCTCTGATTCTAACAATAGATACAGGTAATAGCCAGCATAACATCTGCCTTGTAGGAACGTGGACCTCCTATAAACATAATTACGTGCAAAACAACCTTTAGTAACGTAAGAGATAAAAAATTCAAACATCCTTAACCAGAGCAACTCACGATTGTTAGCTTGAGTCTTACGCTGCGATATGAAAGACATAATCACATATAAAGATCTCACTTTACTACTTTTATTACTTTATTTTCAAATTTCTAGAAATTTCTTGTCAAAAATGGCCTCACTACGCTTCTACACCGTACGGTCCGACTACGGTGGCACATTTAGTATTAAAAAAAAAATCACTAGACTTGAAATAAGTTTTCAATCATTTTCCTAAATTATGCACTACTTAACAAATAGTCCGGAAAGTACTAGTCATCAAATCCTGTAAAATATTTGAGTGATAACTGGCTTACAATTGACTATACATAATTTATAAAACAATATCTTCAAACGCATCATTATACAGGGCTTTTCAAATAAGTTAAAGATATAAACAAACTGCTTATTCAACCATAATTTTAGTATTATTCATGTCTGAAATATTGCTATAATCTTTTAGATCCCCATAAAAATGAAACTTTAATTAAATATTAACATTCGCTTTACACTAGCTGTTCACAAATTTTTGGTACCCGGAATTCGTTGCTTTGTCACGCCACGTTCTATTGATTGCGTGACGAGACTAAACTCGCGTTCCCCATTTTGATTTTTTTGTTACTTCTTCTGTTACTCTATAATATCAACACTTAGTCCCAGAGCATTTCAGATTACTGGATTTAAAACAATTTTGTTAAGATAAACTTGTGCGACGATGCACGACCAGCAATCACCAGAGAGGACGAAATATAAGTCAAGATGACGTCATTCCGGTTTCATCTTTCCGACTAACTTTGCTGCCAGAGACTGTAGCGCAGTTCCCGCGGGTGATTCTGGAAATGATTCGAAAATGTTCGAACCTTGTTCACAACAAACGCACAGGTTCTATGAAGAGGAGGGTAAAAACATTTTTAAAAAGTATTTCGAATGTAAGAAAAACTTGCGTGTCATGCAAATAATTTATCGAAATGGTGGTTTCTGACAAGCTACAGCAAAAAGCAAAAACACAGTGAAACGTTAAAAGCTCCCGTTTACGAGAAAGTATAGGTCTGAAAACAAATAAATCCTCATAGTTTCCTCGTTTAAGTGTATGCGAAATAGCTTTCCAAACCCAGACCTCTCTCTCCCAAAGAGGCAGACATATTCGGCTCACACATAAGTGAACTTTGTGCCACTAAGAGCGCATTACGACTTAGCGTCGTAAAACCAAAACTAATTGACAACCAATCAGAGAAAGGAAAACGTCACAAGGAGCCAATGAGATCTAAAATTCAAAACAAGTAAACTATCTAAAGCGCGGGAAAACGCGAGTGACTATGTCTCGATTGGTTTTAGTTTTGAATCTGATTGGTTGAAAAAAGTGGCGTGAGTAATCTGGACCAGTCACGCGGCGAGATAAAGCAAAACTAAAGCCATTCCGACTACTTTTGACACCCTATTGAAACTTGTTCTAAAAGAAATTCTATTTTTACAGAGCTTGAGAGAAAATGACTTTTGGGTTTTTGCATTCCACGTAGCTGGCTGCCTAATAGAGGTCAGTATCAGTAGAAGCTTCAGCATCACAGTCATCGCCATCGTTGGCATCATCAAGTCAAAAAGACAAACAACATCAACAACACCAATAACTACAGTACTATTATTATGATCACCATCATCATTAACAGCAACAACAAAACGTCACTATCATAAAAAATGACTATAATAAGTTTTTTTTTTATATAATACCTGATCTAACGGGATTTTTGCAAGGAGACGAAGACCATTTTCACTAGCGAGTCTTTCAGCGCCACCAGAAGAAAACAGGTTTGAACATTCCTGAACGTTTATCAACACAATAAAGCAATTTTAACAGAGTGCGTTTATTCTTAAGCCAGTGAAAAAACATAAACCATAACTGCTTCAAACGGTTAAGAATATATGAAAGTCATATATTTGAACTGCGGATAAAGACGTGAATGAATGTGATCCTCGCAGTAATGTGCACTACTTAGGCAGTAGTGAAAATAAGGCCTGAAAAAAATTCAGGCCTGTGCGGGATTTGAACCCATGACCTCTGCGATACCGGTGCAGTGCTCTACCAACTGAGCTAACAAGCCAACTGGGAGCTGGTCATGATCATGACCAACATCATGACCAGCTCCCAGTTGGCTTGTTAGCTCAGTTGGTAGAGCACTGCACCGGTATCGCAGAGGTCATGGGTTCAAATCCCGCACAGGCCTGAATTTTTTTCAGGCCTTATTTTCACTACTGCCTAAGTAGTGCACATTACTGCGAGGATCACATTCATTCACATAACTGCTTCGTAACTCAAACTAAACAAAAGATATAAATATAATTAGCACCTTGTAAAGGTTGATTGCTGGCAACTATCTCAAGGGTTGTGTTAACAACACAAGGAGCAAGCGCAAGCAGTTTGTTATATAGCTTAAATACTTAACATACCTGACAGTACGGGCAAACAAAGCCACTCATATTTTCCACGATACCTAACACTGTCAAATCCATCTTTCGGCAAAAATTCAGCTCCTTGCGAATCGTTGCCAACGCAACCTCTTGAGGCGTCGTAACCACGACAGCTCCATCAGGATTGACGTTTTTCAGTGCTTTGACAACAGTTAGGTGTTCATCTGATGTGCCGGGTGGTGTGTCTGTTAAATAGAGAATAATACATGGCGCGCGTAGATAGAGAATTTCTCTTCGAGTGTTGAACTCGATATCTCACGGGTGAGCTGATGAAAACTCGAAGTGAAAACAAACAAACTGCTTGAAGCGTGGGAAAATGCGATTGATCAAGACGCGATTGTTTTTAGTTTTGCATCTGATTGGTTGAGAGGATGGCCAATCACAGAGCAAAGTTAGATATAACCAAAGCAATTGCGGATTACTTCCGGTACTCAATTGAATAATAGTTTCCTCTCGCCCGGTTGTCAGCCGCAGGGTCTTCAAAGACGTCATATCCTTAACAGCAATTGAGAGTTTTTGTCTAGTTTTGAAAGTTCGTATTGAGAAACAATCAAATACCTGATAAGGTCAAATTTTGTCTTCCAATTATATGAACTTTGTAAAGGGCCTTGCTCACCATAGAATCTCTATGGCCCAGAGGTAGAGCATCAGAGCGAGGAATGTGAAGGTCTGAGGTTCGATTTCTCATGGAACTTTTTCTTTGTGTCTCGCTCGAGACAAGACGAAAAACATCCTTCTCCATTTATTAACGATACCGAGCTTAAAAATACCATCTTTCATATTCTATTTACAATTAAATCTTTGGCACTATCTTTTTCCGCAGCCCTTCAATATTCACACTAGTTAATTTCCAACAAAAAAAG